ATACTAAATATCTTAAGATCGAGAATATAATAAATCTAGAGGAGTGCAACCTTGAAAAAAAAAAATGAAATTCTGAAATTCATGGTCACTCTACAAGGCAACAAGAAAATATCCATGTGGTCAACTCCAGAACAAACATAGGAAAGTGCAGTGTAATAAATCGTGCATCTGAAACTTACACCTCTATCCCAAATGACATTAAAAGTGAAAGAAATATTTTTAAATTCTCAAAAAAACTGGAAAATTATCTATACATTCAAGAAACCTCGTAATTTTCATTTAGAAGAAATAGATAGACTATATACCGGGTGCCCACGAGATTACTTTCCGACTGCCATTTTTTTATTTGTTCATCGATATCAACGAAATTTGGTAGGGTTGATATTCTAACAAAACGCCATTTTTATGCATTTATGACAACTTTTTCTGACTTCTGGTTTCACCGGAAATTACCGAAACTTTTGATTTTCAAATGGCACACCCTGTATATTTTTTGTTTATCAGATTGTACAGATCGTTTTACGTCCTAATGAACCACTTTTAAATCGAGTTTTGTGCAAATTTCGTTTTCAAAGTAAATTTCAAGTAGAAAAAAAAAATTACCTACAAAAATAAGTATATGAATGAATGGTGCATCAAATTCATGAATTATAAAAATTATTTCTATTTGAACTTTGTTGTCCCCACCTCAATTTTCACAGACTTCCTCTTTATTTCCTTGGAAGAAAGTATAAATTTACCATTGAAAAAAATACACTATTTTCTCACTCTTGATTTGAAGAATCTGAGCTGCCATGCCATTGTGTCAAACATCGATTTCATCAGGTTCTATGAGAAGTTTACTAGAAAAAAATACTGTATTTTTGTGTAAGAAAACGCATTCAGATTGATTAGCTTAAAAATCTCACAGACTTTAGGGCTACTGCAACATAGAGGACCTACTGCATCAGAGATTTTATCAAGTTATAGTTAATGGTGTGCTGCCAAATGTAACAGAATTGTCCAGGGGTTCAGTCATGGGCCCTTTGTTTTTCACATCATATTTGTTTGATCTTAGTCTCATTGAATCTAAAATGAAAAACTTTGCAGATGATGGAAAGCTTTATACAAATCCGCTAGTACATGCAAGGCAGCTAAGGGCTGACTGTTGAAAAATGGTCTACAGATTGGGGATTGAAGTTGATTGAGTCCAAATGTACAGTCTCAAAATTCAGTCCAAACGAAGAATACGAACTAAACAATGTGACATTATAGTACGGGATACGAGGCATATTTCATCAAATCATTTTACACCGTCTTGCATTGTTATCATCAGTTAGATAACATGATGCTGAAACGCACTTGCGCAGTGAACTATATGGGACTGGGGAATTTAGCTGATAAAAATGTTCGAGAAAATGTCGTCATAATAAAAATATTTAATTATACACCGTCTTGCATTTACTTATTAAGTTAATTTGTACACAAACAAAATTGGAATAACCTATGCAAGACATATTCCTGGGGGTTTTCGGGTTGTAATATTAGATAGAAATTGTCAATTTTTCAGAGGGGTGAAATATCATTTCACACCACTCAATTGTTGATTTAGATTAAAGCTTGAATGTAGAATAGCCATTGGATACTGATGCAAGACGCACTGTGAGGGGATAATGGGCTGCAAGACAGAGGTCAATGTGTTGTCTTATGAGGGAGGGAGAAATCATTTTACACCGTCTTGCACTGGTACTTATGGGAAAAATAGAACACATTGATAACATTTTTAAAAATACAAGACATTCTAAATGGGAAGAAAGGACTGCAAGACGATGATGAAGTTGACTAATTTTGACGGGGGTCAATCCATCAGGTACAAAGGTGAATACTACTTCAAATTACAAATTATACACATTAATTTTAAATAGTTTTGCTCTTCACCACGTAGAATAATTCTATTTTGCGAAATTCTCCTAATAATATGTATATATGAATGTTTCTACGGACATCAAATAAAAAAAGATTGAAAATTGTTTTATTTTTGACGGCTTTTAATCATTTAGGTGCTCTTTGAGGTGGATATCCCATGACACATAACATGTTTTGTGTACATAACAGATTGTAAGCATTAAATTTGAAGAATTTCATTTTAAAGCAGCAAAAAAATGTGAAAATGACACAACAAATGATCTGTCTGAAATTGTAAACAAAAATTATAATTCCTGTATTCAACAGACTCCCCTGTTGAGCTGCTATGTCAACTGTCCTTTTTCATCTGTATGATTTAAAAAAGAATAAACATTAAACGGTTCAGTAAATAACTCAACAGTTCAGTCAAAAAATTAAAATGGATTTTTGAACTTTTTTCCCAGATAAAACGTCTTGGACTGATGTAATACCATTTCTTAACATAGATTCTTTCGGCCGACATAAGCATGAAGTGGTGTAAAATAATTTTTCACTCCCTCATGAGACAACACATTGACATCCGTCTTGCAGCCCGTTATCCCTCTACAGGACATCTTGTATCAGTATCCAGTGGCTATTCTACATTCAAGCTTTGATATAAATCAACAATGGAGTGGTGTAAAATGATATTTCACCCCTCTCAAAAATTGACAATTTCCATCTTATATTACAACCCCAAAACCCCCATGAAAACGTCTTGCATGTGTTAATCCAATTTTGTTTATGTACAAATTAACTCAATAAATAAATGCAAGACGGTGTATAATTAAATATTTTCCTCGTTTATGATGACATTTTCTGAAACATTTTTTTCAGCGAAATCCCCCACTCCCATCTATTTCCCTGCACAAGTGCGTTTCAGTACCATGTTATCTAACTGATGATAACAATGCAAGACGGTGTAAAATGATTTGATGAAATAGGCCTCGTATCCCGTACTGAAATGGGTGAAATATATTTTAAAGATTGCCAAAAAAGCAAATTATTTTGTATATCTCATTAAACAAAGCAATTGAAAACCACTCGATAGAAATGATAGGCAAACTGTATAAGAATTACATACGACCAAAACTTGAATACACTTACTCAATGTGGAATCCCTGGTATGTCAAAGATATGAAAGTTCTAGAGAAAATACAAAAATACTACCAGAACCATGAGACCTTCCATACCTAGAGAAATTGACAAGACTAAAACTAACAAGAGAAGACATTAATCGAAATATACAAAATAACTAGTAACTATAATTGCAATATCAGAGAAATCTTTGTACAAAACCAAAACTATCTTCGTAAGCACTGCAAGAAACTCGAAAAAGGAAAAATCGCAAAACTGCCTAGAAGAAACTTTTTGATTAATATAGTTGTAAATTAATAGAATTTTAAGCGCAAACTGAGGAGAATAATGTACTGAAAATATTGAAGGATATGTGCCTGGAAGGTTGCGGAGCAAAATAAAGTTTCCGGATAATAATAATTGTACCTAAATTCTCAAGTCTGAGATTGTTCTCAAAATTGCATGAGAATTATACAATTGTAACGAAAAAATCAAGAAACATTACCATTGAAGTTAGTGACGTGAACTTGTAGTATCAATCTGTGAGCTAATGAGAAGCTGGGCCACAAAAATATTGAAACATGTTTCATCTTTTTTTATTTTTTTAAATATGTTTGTCATCGTAGAAGAAAATTGTCAATGTAAGATTTGTTGAGAGTGTGGCTGATATATTGTTTGTTAACTCCTTGTTGTTAGTTAACAAAAACCGTATGATAATGTTCTACTGCAAAATCGATTTCTCACATGTGTTCCTGGCTAAACTGGCTACCTGAGCTTTTTGACATAAATCTCACCTCAACCCTAATTATGTCACACACATGAAGTTTTATCAAAATTTCTTTCAATGGCTGGACAAGCAATTAGAGACAGGCGTAAGGTTGCAAGTAGCTCGCTGGAAGAAAGCGGCTCTATAGAAAAGTATTTTTCTCCTACCAAAGTCAAACCAGGTACAATTTTCGTCTGTTTTATTATATCAATCCAGAAATTAGTTCTTCATAATAATCATATCACAAATGTGTTACATATGGCTTATCTGTATTGTATTGCGACTTCAAATTGAACTGGATAAGCTGGTCAATGACTGAGTTTATTCCATCGAAAGTGGTTTTAGTTTTGATATTTACACCATTTTTTTTTGGACTTCTTTAAATTATTGTAACATAATTTTCATTGCCTTACATTTTGAAACAAAAATATTAAAGATTCCTGCTAGAAATCTAGTCAATCATTAAACAACAACAATGTAATTCAACACGTTCTTCTTTCGTGTTCTCTGTAAAATTGTTAATATTCCTTGGAAGACCAGCTTTCGTCTCGCACACTAAATTTTGCTGTCGCTCTTAACGTATACTTATCAATATTAATAAACACGTTGCTGACACACATAATTGAGTGCAGGATTTAATTGCAAAAATATATAATTAATTTAAAAGCGGTCATTTTTTTTAATAACATAATGCGTAGAATTTTTTTTTCGAATCACAATGTAAATCGTATGCAAACTAGAGTGATTTGATTGTTGAATTTATTCATCGAGAGTACAATAACAAATGGCGCCTAAAATGTGTTTGATTGCTGTGACTGTGCTGCAAAACTTTAATAGGAAATTGAAAATTTTCTATTTAGGTAAGACAATAAATAATATTTGTATAACAACTTGGTTACAGTAAATCAAGAGAGACATTTCAAAAATTAATTTCATTAGGCAACTTGGCCAATATACAGAAACAGGATTATAAGCAATAATGATAAGGAACCTGAATCTGAAACAACTTGAGCTTCTTTGAATATATTGATTTTGACTAATGGTTCAATAATTTGCACATAAATTTGGAAATATGATAGCTGAAGTTTGTGATAACTTTTTTCCCATTTACTAAAATTGTCTCAGTTTGGTGTAGCAGCATCAACAGGAGAGATTATTAAATTTGCTAACATTTAGAACTACTTTTATTATAACTAAATTTAATTTTTCATTTCTTCTTCTGGTGATCGTTCAGGTAAGGACGGCAGCAAGGTGACGACGGTGGTTGCGACGCCCGGTCAAGGTCCGGACCGGCCTCAGGAGGTCAGCTATACCGACACAAAAGTTATAGGCAATGGTAGCTTCGGGGTCGTGTACCAGGCGAAGCTGTGCGAGAGCAACGAGCTGGTCGCCATCAAAAAAGTGCTGCAGGACAAAAGATTTAAGGTAATGATTATCAATGTTTATACTTGAAAGTTATGCAAGGAGCTTTTGGTAACAGTGATTTTAAATTAGCTTGTCTCATCTGGTGTTTTCAAAACACGTCTTATTTTGGTAACGATTCGTATTCTATTAGAAGATGTTTGTGATAACTGCTTCGCAAAATCTGGAAAAATGGTCAGAAATAAGGCCCAATTTAGTCAGCCAATCTCAATCATTAAATGAGATTCAACATTCAGAATTCCATATCTTTTTGTTTGAAGTTTTCGATATTTTTGCGAAATTTTTAATGAAATGGCAGTAATATTCAACCATGCAGGCCCCAGGAGGTTGCAGAGTGTTTTGCACAGCAATTCCAGAGTGTTTTTACTAAACTCATTCCTACAGATATTAGACCAACACTTCCTGTTGAATCCTACTCCAGAACAGAAATCAACATGCTTTTTTCCAAGGTTGTGGAAAATCTCCTGTGGCCATTATAAAAAAAATGTGGCTTTTCCATGGGACTGCATAAAGTGTGGATCAAGCTACCATCCTAGCTGTGCTGGCCAAGCAAAAGTGTTAAATCCAGAAAACAAGGTGTTTTGCTGCGTGAAATCGAAAAAAAGTGCGGTTAATGAACAAGAAAACTCATCCAAAGGCAACAACATGGATGAAAAAACGAGAAGAACTGTTTTGAAGGACTTACTAAATGAGTATCTTACACCTTTAAAAAAATCTGTGCAAAGTGACCTGGAGGAAATTAAAAAGTCCCTCCAATTTGTATCAGATGGATTTGACGAGCAGCACATAAACTATTGGATGAAGTTAAGAGCCTTAGAAACCAAAATCAAAAACTAGAAAAAAGGATGCAAGAAATGGAAGACAGAATAAACTTTTCTGAACAACAGGAAAAGGAAAATAACTTAATATTTGGAATACCTGAACAGACAGATAAACCCAGGAAAATTGTAAATAAAGTGCTTAGTGCAATGCAAACAGGAGTGAATGAGGATGAAATATTGGAAACATACTATGTGTCAAAAAAAGAAAATGCACCTATTGTTATCAAGTTCAGGAACAAGATATCGAAACAAAAAATACAAATTAGGATCAAGCACCTTAGAGGAATTAAGGTAAATGAATGTGGATTAGTAGGAGAGAACAAAAATATAAATGATGATCTTACCAAAAAGAATCAATATTTGTTCAGAAAAGTTAGAGAACATAAACAAATCCACAAATATAAATCAATCTATGTAATATATGGACGGATTTATTCAAAGAAAGGTGAAAACACAGAACCAATGAGAGTTAGAAGTGAGAGTGATCTCACGCAAATGGTATAAGCTGAGACAGAGACTAACTTAACTTCTTTAGTAAAACATGCTCAATTTGATCAAACAAACTACATACATTAAAAATGGACTATAAATATACTATACATCAACATAAGAAGTCTAAGGAAGAAGCACCCAAATAACATAATACAAGGCCAACAACTATAGATGTAATTATTTTCAGTGAAACATGGATCTATCCTAATGAAGTTGAATATTAAAATTTGCCCTCATACACTGCTGTCCACAACTGCCGAACAACACGTGGGGGTGGCACTGCGATTTATATAAGAGATGGTATAGATTATGTAAATACCACATCAGAAAAAAACATGGAAGATTATAACATCGCCTCTATATACCTACCAAGCCAAAAACTAAACCTACATGGAATCTACAGACCACCACAAAACCAAATACAAACATTTATTCCAACCCTAGAAACAAAAATTTGGAATGTAAGATAAATATTGAGGATCATTTTATATCAGACCACAAAATTGTTTTTGTGAAGGTAAAAAGAGAAATACACAAAAGGGAAAAAGAGACTATTTTGAGAAACAATCTGAATACTGAAGCATAGCTGTATAAACTACAAGAAAAAATAGAAAACACAGAAATCAAGTCATTTAGGGAACTAGCTGGGATCATTATTGAAACAAAAAAAGCAGTGTACCACACAACGGAAAATAAAAATTCAAGAAAACAACTATTGGATAACAACAGAGTATATGAAAAAATCAAGAAACGAGACAGACTGTACATTAGATGGAAAAAAGTTGAAAATAAATATGTGGAATCAGAATACAAAAAACTACGAAACGAAGTTAATAATATGAGGAAGAATTTGCAGAGAGCATATGCAAAGTTTACAAAAGCAGAAGGAAACAGCAGAAAAACATGGGGCATAATGAATAACATCTATAGAAGGAGAAACCATAACAAACAGAAAATAACCAGTATAATTAGCCAAAATGGACAAACTCTGACAAGGAAAAAGCAAACGAATTTAACAACTACTTCACAAATGTTGGTGAAAAATCAGCATCTCTGACAGATACAAACCAAAATACAATCTTTCAGGAAGAAGAAGTAAATGAAACAATTTTTCTCAGGCCAATTGATGACAATAACTCAAAGAATTGACATGGAACTTAAAAAACCACATTGCCCCAGGATACGATGGTATTACCAAAAAAGATCTAACTAGCTGTAACACCATTGCATTGCAAATACTCTGATTAAACTTATAAACGAAGTCGTAGAAACGGGAATTTACCCACCTGAATTAAAAATAGGAAAAGTAATACCAATAAACAAAAATGGAGAACAAAACATCATAAAGTAGAAAAGTCCCTAAGGGTGAACTGCAGCCCTAGACTTGATGAGTTCCCTCCTCTATTTCTTAATTCATTGCTCTAAAGGGGCGGCCTCTGGCAGGACTTATGAATGACATAATATCCACATCCACTGTACTAAGTAAATCAATAATTCAAAAACCATTTGTATCCAGAAATGAGGGGCTGGTACAATACGTACGAGTGATTAGGACTTAAAAAAATCTCACATAAATGTTACTGAAAGCGCCTATAAGCATTCGAATAGGGAACAAGTTCCCCACTCTTTTTGATCATTCTAGTATTAATAAATAACTTTCTTTTTTTTCTAGAATCGTGAGCTACAGATTATGAGAAAACTAGAACATTGTAATATAGTTAAACTTAAATACTTTTTCTACTCCAGTGGAGATAAGGTAAGAATATTTGTTTCTCTCGTTTCTTTTTTCTTTCTAGTCATATTGATGCTTTTTTTTTATACAAAAAACAAAAATGGGGGAATATTGGCCTAATTTACTTTATTCAAAACAATGTAATAATAATTATTATTTATTCCCCATTTTTTGTAAATGAAAATAAAAATGATTATTGACGCTGAGATTATGTTATGTTGACGTCCATCAGCCACCAGAAGTCCCCTGCAACATGTCGATTTTCTTGGCTACCCAGCAGGTACGAACCTGCTTTAAAAACATGACGATTTTTGGCTTTCATTTTATATCCCTAGGATAAAATAATAAATAGCCACTTTAATAACAATAATGATTTAAAGCTGACCCAAAAACTTACCATGTAAACCATACTTGTTGAATTTCCTTTTGTTTTATTGCAAATGAATGAGTGCGTTTACATTGTGTACCTTTTATTTGGTACTGCTATCTTTTTTTGTTCTTTTTTTTTTGTAGTTTTATTAACTCCCCGATGTAAAATGAATTCCTGAAAAAATTGTATTTTCTTTGTACAAACTAGTTGTAGTGGGCTTGAGACACCCTATATATATTTTTTGGTGATCATTTTCATTATACATGGTATATTAATTATTTTTTTAATTTCTTCGTTTGTCAAGTGTCTTCAATAATTGAATCTATATCCTTTTTATTTTGTATTTTTTTCAAACAAACCTGTCTCTTGTGTGGACTGTTTCCAAAAATAGCAAATTTAATGAGATAGGGTTTTTTGCAGAAAGATGAGGTGTACCTGAACTTGGTTTTGGAATACATACCCGAAACTGTGTACAAGGTGGCGCGGCATTATAGCAAATCCAAACAAACTATACCTATTAGCTTTATTAAGGTAATTAATTTTTTTATATGTAATTTGATTTGAAACTAATTATATTTTATTTAGTTATACATGTACCAACTGTTTCGATCTCTGGCATATATCCATTCTTTGGGCATCTGTCATCGGGACATTAAGCCCCAAAATTTGCTGCTCGATCCCGAAACTGGGGTGCTGAAGCTGTGCGATTTCGGCAGCGCCAAACACCTGGTCAAAGGCGAGCCCAATGTCTCCTATATTTGTAGTCGATATTACAGGTAAAAAATTTAACCACCAGTCTTGCATAATAAATCTAATGTTGTTTCTTATAGAGCTCCAGAGTTAATTTTCGGCGCAATCGACTACACCACAAAAATCGACGTGTGGTCGGCCGGTTGCGTTTTAGCCGAACTCCTTTTGGGTCAGCCGATTTTCCCCGGAGACTCGGGCGTCGACCAATTAGTCGAGATTATCAAGGTCCTGGGCACGCCTACCAAGGACCAAATCAAAGAGATGAACCCGAACTATACCGAGTTCAAGTTTCCTCAGATCAAGTCGCATCCTTGGCAGCAGGTAAGGATAGGTTCAAAGCAATTCTTTTCACACACCGACTAAATTACACGATTAATAAAAAAAACTAAAGAGCGAGCTAACAAAAAAGGCCTGTAACCGCGCCAATTGTATTTTCAGTTGATGCTGACGAAAATGTCAATGCCGCGATGCTCAACCGATCATCAGCGCATACGAGTAAGTGATCACGTTGAGTTTTGTGCGCGCTTGTCTTTTTTTAAAATCTATCTTTGTTTATCACAATACCGACGTCAAGATATTTTATGATAGATAATTTCCAAATTCTTTGTTCTTTTGTTTGAGAAATTGAATCCTGTTTCACCAGGGCAAAATGATATTTTGTGAACAAATTCAAGGGCGATTCTGCAAGAGATTTTGGTTTAACAAAGGTTGAAGAAAATCCATTAGTCTCGTTCTGAATCACTTTTCTCCAGTCATTTTGAGTTCATCCGATCTGTGGTGCCTTTTTATGTATGCCCAGCAAATGTTATTAAGTAGTTCTGATTTTCATCTGCCTTGCAAGATGTCCATGCTCCTATGCAAGTTTTCCTTTTTTTCAGAAAGTCTCTATTCTGGAAAGTGTTTCGTCTTTCTTCTTGGGCATAATTTGTCATCACTTTTATATTTTCTAGAAAAATTATAATTCAGGAGATAAAATGTTTCATTTATAAATCCTGTAAAAATTCGGACGATTATTGTTTTGAAAAAAATTGTAAGGGCGAGGGAAATATAGATCTCTCAGAACCGCTTGGCAAAATTGTCAGTAAGGACAGATTATTGAACAAATTATTAAAGAAGAATAGCAAAATCAAACAAAAAATCACGTCACTAGCCAAGGAATTGATAATTATTTGAACACCTTTCCAACCCCTATGCAAAATCACATTGACTGATGACTGCCTGGGAAATCTGCAAATTAAAGTACTCTAATAAAAAGACAATAAAGCAACAACATCGGTTTTCAATCGCTTTCTATTGCTCTGAATAATAATAATAATAATAATAACACCCATAAACGAACAGTTCATAACCAACAGAAAGCCAACAGTCATATCAAAATCTAACCACAATAGTAGTATTGACCTAATCTTTCTGGGAAACTTGGAAAATGGATATTTTGAAATATTAGATCCCAAAGAACAGAACTTAACAAGTTAGCTGAAAAAATAACAGAATCCATCCAGACAACAACAAAGAAAATATGCAGCAAAATTAAAAATTCAAAGAACACAAAACTAAGCCCAGAAACTGTAGATTTCATAACAGAGAGAAGAACACAATACAACGAGAAGAATGCGAGAGTGAAAAAAATGATAAGGACAGACCTGAGAACTTATACAACTAAACAAATCTTAGAAACAATCGAAGCCGACAAGAATATGAAAGTACTGAAAACCGAATCATCCAACGGAAAACAAAGAATTATAAACATCAAAAATCAACAGGAGTACTCGTGAGCGATAAGAAATCCATTGTGGTCGAAATTCAGCACTTTTATAAAAACCTCTATATGTCTAAGTACCTAAACCACATATAGATCCGAGGAAAATTCTAAACATGGGCTCAGAAGAAATTGCCGAATTTACGTCTTCAGAACTAAAACACGCTTTAAGACATTTAAAAAATAGAAAATCTCCAGAGGAAGACCACATAACCGTAGAGATGCTAAAATTGGGAGGCAACGAACTTATGATCAAAACACCACTCGATAAATGCCTCTCAGAAGGAAAAATACCAAAAATATGGGAAAATGCAGAAGTGACACTTCTATTTAAAAAAGGAGATAACACGAATATAGAGAATTATCCTCCTATTAGCCTGCTTTCTCATTTATATAAGTTACTCACGAAAATCATTACGAACCGTTTAACAACAAAACTCGATTCCTATCAACCAGTCGAACAAGCAGAATTCCGCAAGGGATTTTCCACCACCGATCACCTACAGACCATAAAATAAGACAACTTAAAGAAAAAACTTCAGAATATAATATCCCCCTTCATATGGCTTTTGTAGATTATCATAAAGCTTTTGATAGCATCGAGGCATGATCGTTTCTTGAGGCAAAGGACGACGCCAGATTCGATTCACGCTATTTCCTCCTCCTAAAGAACATATACCTTTCTCTGCACTGTGAGTACATAAAAAAGAAAATCGCGAAAAAAGCAGGTTTTATGTATAGGCTAAATAATAAAGTTTCACTATTCACTAAACTCACAATTTACAAATCAATAATTGCACCACATTTTGATTATTGTGGAACATTATTTCATTTTTTAAATACAGGACAAAAAAACATGTTACAGAAACTGCAAAGCCGTTGCATGAGGGCAATTTTATTATGCAATAAGCGAACTCCTATTAGAAGTATGCTCGAAAGGTTAAATCTGATGAATGTTCATCAACGAGCTTCATACAATATGTTAGTCTTTGTTTACAAACTTAAAAATAATATGTTGCCGACATATTTAACTGATGAGGTGGTTTATGTTAGAGATATTCATACTCATAATACTAGGTCAAGATCAGTGAATGACTTCTATATTGCTGATTTCCAAAGTGAAACTGTGTTTAGTGTAGGTTTAAGATTGTTTAATAGTATCCCTAGGGACATGAAAGAATGCAACTCATTAAGAACTTTTAAAACAAAATGTGCTCATTATGTGAAGACTTTGTAAAACTTTTTGGATGTAAATACTTATTTGCCTAGCTACTTGTATTTGTAATGACATTGTTGAGAGCAATTAATTTGCTAATAAAGTGTGATAATAATAATAATAATAATATACCAACAAGCAACGTTTGATATAAAGATCGATGATGACATGAAGACGAACAAAATCCCTCTGGGAAAAGGAGTGAGACAAGGTGATACCATATCGCCAAAACTTTTCACTTTACCGTTGGAAAACGTTTTTAAAACAATACATTGGGCAGACAAGGGAATGAACATGAAGTCATCTCACTAATTTGAGATTTGCGGATGATATTGTATTGATAAGCTCCGACATACAAGAGCTAGGTACAATGCTAAATGAACTAAACACACAGTCAAAGAAGATGGGACTAAATATGAATCTTAGTAAAACGAAAATTCTTAGCAATGAAAATCTCCTAATGAACATAGATAGCTGTAGAGAAAGTGGATCCACATATATACCTAGAGCATGTCATAAAGCTCGGTAAAGAAAATCAGACTGCCGAGCTAAAGAGGAGGATAGGTTTGGCCTGGCCTGCATTCGGAAAGTTGGATTTCATCTTTAAAAATAAAAACATTCCGCTTCCACTCAAAACATATGACACGTGTGTACCCCCTGTTGCTACGTATGGACTGGAAACCATGACCCTTACAAAGAAATCCATGGAAAAACTGTGCGTATGTCAAAGAGCTATGGAAAGAGCTATGTTGGGAATCACTTTAAAAGACCGAGTACGCAATACTGACATTCAAAACAGAATAAAGGTCACCGAGATACTAACTCGTACAGCGAAATTAAAATGGCATTGGGCAGGCCACATAGCACAAATGGACCCAGATAAATGGACATCTAAAATTACATTCTGGCGACCCCGAATAAGTAAGCGAAACACCGGACGCTCTCAGAGACGGTGGAGAGATGACAGGCAAATCGTTGGGATCCAATGGAGAAAAATTGCCGAGGACCGACGGACATGGAAAAATTATTCCACCTGGAACACAATCCCTCTCAAACATGCACCGAAAAAGACCAGGAACTAGAAGATTTGATACGACAGATTAACGAAAAAATGCAAAGAGACTACGCCAATGATAATGAGATACAAGGAATGCCATTGAAAAAATGTATGATGGCACAATGCAACCAATTTCAACGACCCACCGTAGAAGAAAAGAATCCTATCCCGTATAAGAAAACTGAGAAAAGACCCCTCACACTAAAAGAGTCACTAAACCCTAATCTGAACGAAACTATGAAGGAAAAGAAGAAAGCACTCTACACCAAACATTATATAAAGAATGAACAAGATCACGCCAAAGTGACAGAAAAACTATATCATCTAGGTGTTGAGAAATTAGAAAAAAACACAAATTTTCAATTAATTTTTTCATATAAGTGTTGATTTTTCCATCTTGGACAGCTGCTAAGTGAAATTCCTTCTGAAGGTTGATTCAGCAACTCTTTATTAAGCATCCCTTCAAATTTGGTCGTGATATATCATCTAGGTGCCGACAAATTAGAAAAAAACACGGATTTTTATTTATTTTTTTCATGTAAGTGCTGATTTCTCCATCTTGGATGGCTGCTAAGTGAATTTCCTTCTGAAGGGTGATTAAGCAGCCCTTTATTAAGTATTCCTTCAAATTTGGTCACGATATATCAACTAGTCCACAGCAGCTAGTATCAGCCCAAATATATAGAATGAAGAGGTACACTGAAAGATCCGCACAATACAATCATAACAAGCAATTCACAGAAAATACTGGCAGATTCTACAATACCTTACTCACCAAGAATAACCAAATATAACATAAGAAATACCACTCCCGATAGAAATCGAAGAATATTGGAAAAACTTATAGGAAACAGATGCAACTCACAATAGCGAAGCAGAGTGAATCCAACAGGCATACAATGAAACGGCTCATGTAGAATAGATGACCTGGAAAGAAATATCTACAGAAGAAATCAAAACAGCCTTAGACAACAGTGGAAATTGGAAAGCTCCAAGCTCCGATGGGATACCAAATTTTTGGCTGAAAAAGTTAGTAAAGTGAAATTATTTAAATAATGGTTGCATGTAAGTAAAAAGGTAAACACAACTTCTCTCGTAGTTAACTAACTACTACATATTATATTTCTCTATGTAACCATTCGTAATTATGTCGATCAAAAAAAGGCGACGATGACATTCGAAAATTGGATTATGCCAAAAGGTATCGAGATATGCGATTCTCGTACGCAACATTGGGAAATCGTTATTCGAGAATTGGGCCCCAGGTATAGATACTCCTGATGTCACAATCATTTGGGATACACAGGTAGATAGACCCATCAAAACTAATAAACCTGATATCAGCCTTGAGAACAAAAAACAGAAGAAATGCCTACTGATAGACGAAGCGATTCCATCAGACTACATCACTCAAAAAGAAGCCGAAAAATACCTAAAATACAAGGCTTTACAGATTGAAAGACAATGACTGTGGAATATGAAAACAACAAATATTCCGTGGTGATTGGAGCGACAGGTTTGATCTACTCACACTTCAAAAATCTGTCATATTTAGCACTGCACATATACTATGCAGAACACTGTAAAACCTTCACAACACGGAGTTTCACCATAGAAGCAAGGTCCGCTCTTGGCGTTTCTCCTCCAAGCTGTGTGATAGAAAGAAAATAATAATAATAAGTTCCGTCAAAATATATACCCTTAACAAACAAAAATGCATAAATATTCAGATTTTCTTAATTTTTTGAACCATGAAATGAATAGGGTACTATTAACAACATTTCAAACCACCATTCAAAATCATCTTGACTCAAACTCCTCAAAAATTGAAAAAATATTGTTTGTCTTTATGCATAAATATCCAGATTTGAGGCTAACTGTGAATTATCGTATGACGCATGTGTCACTTACTACTATTAAAGATAATCCTACTCCGAGTAGGATTATCTTTGCTACTATACAGGGTGTTAATAAATAGTGGGATCAAACTTCTGGGATAAATAGTACTCATTAAAATAAGAAAAAAGTTAATAGAAACATGGGTCCGCGAATGCTTAGTTTTCAAGATACAGGGTGTCAAAGTTTGAAAAAAAAAATCCGTTTTTTAGCTCAAAAATCCCTTTTCCAATTTTCTTTTTCAAATTTGGCAGGTTTGTTTGTGATAACAAAAGGTATCTTTCGAGTTTTGACTGTAATATGACTATCTGCAAAAATATCAAAGTTATAAAAAAAAAGTGACATGCCATTTTTTTCTACTTTTACTAACGAGTTGTCCTCTAGGGCGCCACTGGAATAATTACGGTAAATCTAATTGAATCAAAAGATACCTTTTGTTATTATTACAAACAAATCTGCCAAGTTCAAAGAAATTCGGGAAACGGATTTTAAAAAACTGATTTTTTCAAACTTTGACACCCTGTATCTTGAAAACTAAGCATTTGCGGACCTATGTTTCTATCAACTTTTTTCTTATTTTAATGAGTACTATTTATCCTAGAAGTTTGATCCCACTATTTATTAACACCCTGTATAAGGAACTGATTAAGGGAATATCGCCCTTTGCATCTGTCCATGGAAAATAAAACTAGTCCTTTAATAAACAATATCGGCTTTTATTTAAAACGTGAAGGGTAATTGAGCAAGTAGTGCTTGCGAAATTAACGTAAAAAGACATTACACATACCATGTTATTGCATAAGCTTTGGTTAATTGGAATCGATGAACCCTTGATCTCATGGTTTCACAGTTACTTGTCCGGTCGGAAGCAGATTGTTATAATTGGTAATTTCCTCTCCAAAATTATGCAGGTAACCTCCGGTGGGCCACTCCTTTTTAATGTCTTTATAAATGATATTCATGAATGCTTTACCACATGTCTTTTCTTGTTGTTTGTCAATGATCTTAAAATGAGCTGCATAATTGAATCTCATGATGACTGTGACAAACTACAGTACGATCTCGTCAACCTCCAAGACTGGTGCAATAGAAATTTCATGGATTTCAATCCTTCTAAATGCAAAGCCATTACTTTTTCGCGTGGTAAAACCCCCATTAATTATAAAATTGGTCAGCACACCCTTGAGGAAGTTTCCATTATCAAAGACCTTGGTGTTTCACTGGACACAAATCTCTATTTTTCCATTCGCTTAAATAATGCAGTTAATAAAGCTTTCCAAATGTTGGGTTTTATCAGAAGGACAATCCAATATTTCACCAATATTACTGCTTTAAAAACTTTATATTGCGGCCTGGTCCTCCCTCATCTAAGAGTTCTTGCCTCTGGTCACACAAAGACTCTCTCCAACTGGTTGAACACAGATTTTTGAAACAAATAGCCTATAAACTAAACATATTGGATAATTATAATGACACCCTGCTACCACAGTTTTTGCTACTCTCTATGTTAATTATGACCCCAATAACTATGAGGAGAGACCTTACAACCTATAATATTCTGCATGGGAAAGCTTCGACTCCTGAAATTCTCCATAAAATTAGCACTCATGCCCCTCCCAGAACTACCAAATCAAGTAGCAGTTCTCATGTCCGGATTCATCGTATTCGTACTACTTATGGACTTGATACCTTTATCTCCCGAACAGCTAGACTCGCAAACAAACACCACAAGATTGACCTTTAAGTACCTTTCAACATTTTTCTTAGTCAGATTTTCTTAATTTTTGTAACTTTGACTTCAGCCCTAATTTACTTTTATATATTAGTTACTGGGCGTTATTGAGATTTTTAGATTCCATATTTTGAATCAAGTTCATATACAAATAAAAGCGGCTAACGCGCAATTATGAGAGAGATAAGGAGGAAGTGATGATTTGTCACAGAAAAATTCAAACAATGAGGTATTTCAAATTGTAATGTTTTTGGTTTTTTCACACATTCATCTTCAGATGTTCTTTACTTACCAGTTGACCATTTCTCAAAACTGTTGGAAATGAAAATGTTCAATGTTCCATTGAAAGTATACAAAGTTTCGGTGATATCAATCACATCTTGCTTCTGATTCCTCTCCTGATTGGTATTAATTTATGTTCCAGCTGTACTATCAATGTAACCTTTCTGTAGATGTAATGAACAAGCTTTAAGGTATTTGAGTTGTTCATTGCTATTTCTATGTTCTAAACAACTTTTCGCGTTGAAACTTGGTTACAATTTGATTTTAGGCCCCAGAACTCTGCTTGAGCTGACTCTCAAATAATACATCATACTATCTAGGGGCAACCAGATCTAATTTCTGTTGAGAGCGGTTTCTCGAAGAAACTGTTCACATCATACTGATGTTGTTCTAGAAATTTGTGGAGGCTCTTTGCTCTGAAATATGGATCTTTATTCTTCAACCTAATTTACCATTAAAGTCGCGTATGATAATTAATAATTATAATTAACTCTATTGGAAACAGAGTCTTAACTAGGAAGGAATTAACTACTCAGTTTTGAACAGTAAAAATACTTTTACTAATAATAATAATAAGCTATTGTCGTGAGAAAATATTCATGTGAAGCCTATTTTTATACAGCTTTTTTGTTGGTTTTGACAAAACATTATACTAATCACATCACATTAAATTCATATATTATTATCACTCATCCGGCATTTGAATTGAAAATTAATCATTTTTACAAGTGCGTACTTTTAAAGGTGTTCCGTGCGCGAACTCCTCCAGAAGCCATAGAACTAGTGGCACGCCTCCTAGAATATACTCCTTCAGCCAGAATTAGTCCGCTTCAAGCTTGCGCCCACGCGTTTTTCAACGAACTGAGGGAACCGGCAAGCCGTTTGCCCAATGGCAACGAGCTACCGCCTTTGTTTAATTTCACAGAGCAAGGTAATTGATGTTTTCATTTGAATTTTTTTAAAAATACTAATTATGTTTTGTAGAATTGAGCATACAACCTTCGCTGAATAGTATCCTGATGCCGCGAGGTTTGCAAGCGAGTCAAAGTCAAGGAGAAGGGGCCGATAGTAGTGCTTCAGGGGGCGCTTCTTCGTCAGATCACGCTCCCGATACGGGTAACACGCCGCTGGCAAACCCCTCAGGGTCGGCAGTTGCCTAGGGTACTGTCAAATGAGGACGGTTTCAGTGGGCATAGTTTGTGTACAGGACAGTGATAGGAGGAGGGCGGTTTTAATAATATTTAATTAATGATTGGATAAAGGGGTGCGACCAATCGATTTTGCCTGGAAGATATATTATTAATTAGTTAGTGCAACAAGTGACTTGGAAATTTGAGGACGACACTCTGAAAGGCAAAACTTGGTACCAGACGTACTGATGGTCACAAGTCAGGTCGTCTTGTATACAACAAATTCTTGTGTAAATATTCTCACTATTTTTTTTTCTCTACTAGGTCCTTATTGATTAATTAATTAATTTGTATTGTATATTAGGTGTGTTGTATGCGACATGATACATTTACTACACTAAAAACAAAAGGAAAATAATAAAACTGGTGAATTGTAAACTCTCGTGGTTAGGAAGTTTTTAATTATTCAATTAACAAACAAAACAAAAAAACTATTGTTTTTATTTATGTGTCTCTTTTATTATTTTGTGTCTGTAGTCGATAATAAAATATAGGGCAAAGGCTCTAGTAAAAAAATAAATAATATGTTTTAGTCATCCGAGGTGGGCATTTTTACTTCTAAAAATGACAATCAGAATGTTTTTGTTATTGTTAATTTACGATAATTGGAAATTCTTAAACGTATTTGGAAATGTGAAAAGTATCCACTTCGGCCAAAAAAAAAAATTAATAATAATAGAAATTATTGTTAGCGATCCTCAAATTAGCAAAAAATAAAAGTATAGAGAATGAATTTATATACATACCTACTACATAGATACCTATCAATAATTTTAGACATTGCCTGTGAGATTTTTAAGTCAAATACGAGTAGTTTGAATTGAGAATCTGAGCACTACTTACTTATCACTTTTCACTGTTGTATGTTATTGAAAAAAACAAAAAAACGTTTTCAAATAATCTAAATTTTGGTGTTGATTTAAGGTTATTTTAAATTTTTTTTTACATAGATTTTATGTTTAGTGACTGTTTGAATCTAGATGTGCATTTTCTATTGATAATTATTATGCTAAGAGCACTGTTGACACTAGAAGGTCAATTATAATAAATTATTACTGGGTGTTTTAGAAGTGACTGGTGATTCATTTCATGTTTCAAGTTTTCATATTTGTACAATTCCTTAATCTACAGTTTTTGTAGAAATATGGGCGATTTTGAATATGTAGTAGAAAAATTACCCGAGCCAAATATTCTCGTAGATTTAAACCTCAGAAAGAAATGAATTGAAATATGTTGTTGAAGGACTTCCCAAAAAAATTTTATTAAGAAACGAGACATTGAAAATAAAAAGATAAGGGTGAAACACAAGAAACATAATTTTTGAAGTCAAGAAGAAAAGATCACGCTCAACAAATAGATGAACTACCAGAACAAATCCAAGATAAATTCTGAAACACCCAGCTACAAATTTTAAAGACTTCTTCACCTTTTTGTTCGAAATTATTAGAACGCATTTAGAAGAAAATGTATATCTAGATAATGGTGCGGTCAAATCTAATATATTTAAGCAGTGTCTGTAGAAAAATAATGTGTGCAAACGAGAGCAAAATTGGTGCGGGTGTTCATTTAAGGCAGCTCAGACTCGGCTAAAACTTTTTGTGATAACTTAAAATTGCCTAATTTATCACAGAAACAGGAAAAAAAAAACACACTGCCAAGTTTGTCCAATTTTTAAGTGAGTAATTCCAAGGGACTCGTAAATACTGTATTATTAATATGGTGAATTCGATCAACAAATCCTTTTATTAATGTGTTTAAAAAGAGGCAGTTTGTTTTTGCGTTTACTATAACCCCTTTAACTTTTATAGCTTCTTGCTTTAGAGAATTAATAAAAAAAATCGAGTGACAAATCTCTATATTTAGCTATAGTAAAGTGCAATGCATTAAAAAAAAAAGTGTTTACGAATTATTAAAGAAAAACTTTTTGGTACACAGACACACCACAACTTAAGGGGCAGTCAAAGAATAGGGCTCTCTTTTACTTGAAAAGAAAGCGCTGTTCTTTCCAATTTAGAAAAAATATAATTCTGTGCACTAATTGAAATTATTTTTAACGCAAAATAAAATATTTACATAAAACTTTGTGTAAAATGTGTTATTAAATTCTTGATTATGAAATTTAAAAATTATATTATTTTAATTATTATATAGATAATATTTTCTCTGCTGCAAACTATATAGTAAATAACGATTTTAAAACACATAATGGCTTTTGATCGACAACAAAAAAATATTATATTTTTCAAAGGCCCTGTATATTATTTTTAATTTTATTGAAAAAGCTTGTTTTTATTGATTGATTGTATATATTATTTTAAAATTGAATAAAGTAATGGAATTTATTTAAACGATTATTGTTAATACGGAGGTAATTTTTTGTGATTACTAGGTATATTTAATAAAACAACTGCTCTAGAGTAGAAAAGTCAAATATAACATATCACAAAATGGGAGGAAGTTTTTATTTTTTAGATCATTTGTAACTGGATGTGAAAAATGGTATTTTGCCCCTCAAGAATTTTATAATTGGTAGTTTTATGCTTTTAAGAGAAAAATTTGAATATCAGCAGTATTTCATAATAGTAGCTGATAATGGTAATTGATAATTCTTTCTCGGGTATAAACATCGTGTTTACTTCATTAATGCAATATATAATTTGTTCCAATATAAATTGCAGCTTGGTTATCATCAATTGCTTCATCCACATGCTTTGTCTACAAGCCAATGACAGTACCATACATTCAGATTCAGTAGTGGACATTGCGACACTTTGCCATACCATAAAACCCAATATATCCACTACTGGATCATCTTCTATCTGCACAGTCTCCACATGATACATCACTGTAAACATGAATTTCAGGATTTTTCTGTGAAGTTGTAGGTTAAGCTTTTACTTATGGAACCTTTAAGATCTGGAAGCATTTTCATATGAGTTTTCGTCGGGTCAGTTTGAAACTGTGATAACTTGTTCACTGCATAGCTTATACCAGGTCTTGTTCCCATGGCTAGAAATAGAACTTTCGTTCTTTGACTGATATAGCTCTTTGCTCTTTTATCTTTTCATCTTGCCTTTAGAGCGTTGATACTAGGATCCATTGAAATGAAATAGAGGCCGTCTTACAATTCAACATGGTCATATTTTTGCAAAACTTGTTTTAAGCATCTTTCTTGATTTAAGGACACAGATAAACGATTCCATAAAATTTGCAGGGATAATAAAAGTTTTGGTTTACGTAGGTAAGTGACCTCAAATATCTTCCACTTGTCGAACATCTTTCTCAGTTTTGCGTAGTATAAATAAATCCACATAGACTGCAACTATCTGTCTTCCATCTTCTGACAGAAACATACATATCATATATCTATACATTCTATGGATTGTTTCAGGTTTATTTCTTTCGAAACACTGACCAATTTATGGTTCCATAATCTGGGAAACTTTCAAACCTATATTGTATATATACCTTTCTTCAAATAACAAACTCTCCCTGGCTCAACGTCAACACCTTCTGGGATTTTCATGTGAACCTCGACGTCTAAAATCACTATTGAGAAATGCTGTTTTGATGTCCTCGTTCAGCAATCATATCTTAAGGCGCGTTTCCACTGATAAGTTAGCAACTTCTATGTTGGCAATTTTTCCGAAAGTCACCAACTTTTGTTTTTATGGTTGTCCAAACCCATTAAATGTTAGCAACACGCGTATCCCTTTTAGTCCCCAGTACATCGACCCCTTAAATTTTGTAACTCATGTACACGCCAAACTTCCTGAGCTGCTTCATAATACCAAGTCGGACAATATTTTTCATGCCTCCACCCTGGACATTGCTGCGCTAGCTCTTCGTGAAGTTGTCGTTCTGACGTCCCTAAGAAAGTTGATAGTCCCCAGTACATCGACCTTAAAATTTTGTAACTCATGTACACGCCCAACTTCCTGAGCGGCTTCATAACACTAAGTCGGACAATATTTTTCATGTCTCCACTCTGGGCGATGGGACATTGCTGCGCTAGCTCTTCGTGAAGTTGTCGTTCTGACGTCCCTAAGGAAGTTGATACATGTACGTGTGGTTTCAATGCCAATCGACTGTTTTTTACATTACATTAACGATATCACATTTGTCGGACAAAAACCATGTGGCTTTGGGGAAGGTCCGACACCCTCAACATGTCGCTGTGGCGTCCCTGAGGAAGTTGATACATGTACGTGTAGATTTAATGCCAATCGACTGTTTTTTGTATTACATTACCGATATCATATATGTCGGACACAAATCACGTGGCTTCGGGGGGCCTCCGACGCTCTCAACATGTAGCTGTGGCGTCCCTAAGGAAGTTGATACATGTACATATGTTTTTAATACCAATCGACAGTTTTTTACATGACATTAACGATATCACATTTGTCGGACAAGAAATTTGAGACAATCAATGAAAAAATTAAAATAAGTTTGCCTTAACGCAACGTGCATATTAGTCAGTTTATTATTTACCTACTTTGTCAAATACCTGTGGGGCCCTGTGTCATATTCCCTGATCTGTTTTTTTGATAGTTCTCCGAGTATTTACGGAAATTATTTAGTAAACGCGGTCATTCAAAACCACGCGTGTGAGAAAGAATGGATATTCAGTCGTGTTTTTTGTGCAATCTCAGGAGTGAAGATCCTGAATTTCGGCAGAAATTGATCAATAGGACTTTTGTTGTCCGACTGACTTTAATACTCATTTTATTTGTCCGACATTTACTACACATGTTTTAAAATTACATTGTTATTCATAATTATTTTTGTCGGACATACCTACATGTATCAACTTCCTTAGGGACCCCACAGCGACATGTTGGGGGCGTCGGACCCTCCCCAAAGCCACGTGATTTTTGTCCGACCTATGTGATATCAATAATGTAAAAACAGTCGATTGGCATCAAAACCACACGTAGATGTATCCAGGGTCGGCGCAACCATTAGGCGAACTAGGCGGTCGCCTAGGGCGGCAATCCTAAAAAGGCTACAAAAAAAATCTTTTGAATTCTGCTTTGCTTCATAATATTCAGGATTCCATTTCTCTTGCAAACCCAAACACAAACTTTGCTTTTCTTAGGCCGGTGACACACTAGAGAAATAAGTTTCATAAGTTGGAAGAAACAGGAAATTAGTTTCATTATCACACGACACATACATTCAAATGAGGCGGAGTACAATGATGTTTCTGGAACAGGAGAACAGAAATTGTTTCGCCAGTGTGCGCCGCCTTATTTGAATGTTTGTGTCCTGGTCGTGTGATAATGCCTGCTTTTTTACCTGTGTTATTGAAAAATTATAAACAGTATCGGTTTTAGGATGCCCAAAGATGACAAAATCGCAAATAAAAAATCCAGGTCCGTATTTAAAAAAAGGAAGTTGAGGATGGCCGCCTGAAGACGAAACGTCGAAATTTAAATTTAGTAGCACCATCTTCTAAAGGGGAAAAAGTGACGATGATGAAGTGACATTTATTTTAAAATTGCTTTTCAGATAAGCCCGGGAAAAAATAAAACGGCATTCTTTTGGTCATAAAATTGCGCAACTTTGCCATACTTTAACCGACCCCGTATCTCTTACGGTTACCGAGATCCCAATGATGAGGCTCGAATTTGGGCCACCCTGTACGTGTAGTTTCAATGCCAATCGACTAGAGGTGGGAAAATATCGATAGTAATTATCGATATATCGATAGTTCTAATTGGACAATCGATAGTAGTCCTGTCTTTGCTCATGTCAGCAATGTCAAGTGTCAAAAAATATCATTTATCTTTCACCAAGGCTCCTAAAGTTAATAAGTTGTCTGGTAACGGGTAACTTGATGACGTCATCTGATCTGGGGTGCCTGATAGAAATTTTCATTATGTTTGGGCACCCCAGATGACGTCATAAGGTTATCAGGCAACCTACAGATGAAGATGAGTTATTTTTCCTGTTATCATCGGTTAACAACAATAACAAGCTACACAACTCAACTAAACTTTATTTCAGTTCATAGTGGTGTCAATTTCTTTACTTCCAGTTTAAAGAAAAATGAACATGTATAATTAAACATTGTTATTCACAATATTAACTTCCAATTTGGAATTTTTTTCTCTCTCGTTGTGTTTGTATTGTAGGCCGTAGAGGTAGGACCTTCATCTCAGGCCTTGTTGAAACCCAAATACAAAATAGGCAGGTCCAAAACGTAAACCCTTTTTTTTATCGATAGTTATATCGATACATCGATAGTTTTTATTCGTTACTATCGATATATCGATAGTTAGATTCTTCGATAGTTTCCCACCAGTGGCGTAGCCAGCCTTGCGGGGCGGGTGGGGCAAACATATAAGGGGGCGCATAATTTTCAAAAATACATATAAAAAATATATAAATTAAATTTATATTCGAGGCAATTTAATTAGATAAATAAGGTGTTTCGTTTTTGGCAAGGGATCGATAATTTTTTCTTTTTTTTTGGGGAGGAGGGGGTAAAAATGAATAGGATAATTTGCGAACCTCTTGTAATGTATGCTCATTGGGGGAAAATATTAGAGAAAAAAAGTCCGCCGGGGGCGAAAAATTTTTCTCGGGTGCCACGCCCAAAAAAATTTAGACGTCTCCGGACGTCTTGAAAATTGGAAAAAATCCGAGGAAATCCGGACCAATGACAGCCTAGTTTAACACGTTCACTGTCCTATCACCCAAATATGGGACATCAGTTTTTTTATATGGATATAAAGAAATTGAAATTCATAATAATTGTTTTTCAATTTTGTTTTTCAGAAATTATCAGTGAAGTGGCAGAAAAAATCGGCGGTATACCTAACTACGGTATTTTAATTTTATCCACATCAAAACAGAAATTATTACCTTCTTTTGATTGAACTGAACATTATTGCCGACAATGAAGAAGAATAAAGGGTGAAGAGGTCAATAAAATAAATAAGAAACAGCAAAATTTTATGATTTTTTAATATTTGCTTTTGTTTTTCCTCTCCATTCAAGTGCGGTAGGGGCGCCATACATGCAGGGGCGGGGGGGCCGTCGCCCCCCCTGCCCCCCTACTGGCTACGCCACTGTTTCCCACCTCTACAATCGACTGTTTTTTATATTGCATTAACGATATCACATTTGTGGGACAAAAACCATGTGGCTTTGGGGAAGGTCCGACGCCCTCAACAGTCGCTGTGGCGTCCCTGAGGAAGTTGATACATCCAGGGTCGGCGCAAGCGACTTTGGCGCCCTAGGCAAATGTACTCTCTGCCGCCCCCATCTAGTAAAAATACAAATATGCATAACTATTTTTTTCTACAACTGTCAAAAAATGATGATGTTCGCACACTCATGACAGTTT